TTCTTCCTTGTTTCACTGGTGCTTGCCGCAGAGCTCTGCATGCATGTGCCAAAACATGTCTCCCTCTACCATCATCTCCATTCCCTCCACTCTTCCACGTCTTCCCTGTATTCGTCCTTCCCCTCATCACCACTCCCATCGTCCCCTCCCCCCCACCTCCCCTCCTCCCTCTCTCCTTTCTCTTTCTCCCGTTTCCTCTTCTCCTCCTATCCCTTTCTTCCTCCCTCTCCCTCCCCTCTCTCCCGCTCTGGCACTCCATCAATTCCTTCCCCCGTCTCTTTCTCAACCACTACCTATCTGTTTGTTGCTCTCCATGCTGGCGCATGTGTGTGTAGGAGGGAGATCTTCACGCCCATGTATTTCTTCCTTGCTCGCAAACCATTGTAGCCCTGTGGGGTTCTCCGTGTGAAACAATGCTCAATAAAGCGTGAAAATTGTGATGCCTTTGAAATATCTTTGTTTTTTCGCCGAAGTACAATGTTATTTTGCCTGCTAGTCAACCACTTCATAAATTGTGTAGCCAATAAAGCTCGCTATATGGAATGAGTTCCGTTAGCTTAGAGCTGACAGCGGAATGCATGAAAGCGAGGATGCGAGGTGGAAGCAGGGGGGGGTGGTCTATGGTGGCGGCTTTCCCTGGCCAGGGGCGCGCAGCTGCCAAGGATCCTTCCGCCTCCTCCTCCCCTCCCCAGTAGTCCAGAGCTTTCGCCAGAAGCTTCGTGTGACGAGATTTTTCATCTCATAGCGGATGAGTCTTTCAGTTTTTTCCACAAGCCGTTCCGACCAGGCGTTTAGCCACTCCTCCAGATACAGCCTAGCCAACTGCTTCAACACCTGTTACTTTCTGAACTAGCGAATCCCTGGTTGCTAAGCTCCCACTTTGTCCGCAACATGTTTCGGAGTTTGTTCTGCCCGCGGCGCGGCCGCCGTAGGCAGGGCGCTGAGTCATCCCTGGATCCAGGGTGGCGAGCCGCCATCTGCTGAAATCCCCATTCACAGACTGAAACCTGTGACCTGTGCCATGTGACGTGTGACTTGCTACACAATGCTTTTCTTGGCTGCCGTGCACGCTCGTACATAATCCACGCTCGTACATAATCCGGGGCATTTACAAGAGAGGGCACTGCTGTCGACCAACCGTGCCGAAACCGAGTCTTTCGATTCCATTCCATCATCAGCGCGCTGCTCGTGAGCCTTTCCTCACTCGTTCTTCCTGACCTGCTGACCTGCCCGTGCCGAGGCTTTGCAGTTTCTCGCTGAAAGCGACGGTCGCCCATCGCTCGGACTCGTGCTTGTTTATCGACGCGACTCAGAATCTTGACAATGGCGCCGTGGGTTGCGCTTGCACTCGTGGGGCTCCTGCTGGGAGCGAGTGATCTCCGCGCGGCTCGCGGACAGGAGTCGTTCAACTACGACCTGTCGGGCACGGACTGGAAGGTGGGCATCTCTTTGCGCCCAGGGGCTTCTAAAAGTCTTCGCTTCTCGGGGCGCCTCATATAGTCACACTCCGCCTCTTAGCTGTGCCTCTTCCTCCCAGGGTCTCTGTGCCAGTCCGGCAGGAGGCAGAGCCCCTTCAACATAGTCACATTCCGCCTCTTATTTGCCCCTCATATCGTCACATTCCGCCTGTTACCTGCCCCTCCTCCTTGCAGGGTCTGTGCCAGTCGGGCAAGAAGCAGAGCCCCATCAACATAGTCACATCCGCTGTGAAGCGTGCCGATGGCCCCTCACTGCTCAAAGTGAAGCACCCGCTGAGCCGCGAGATCACCGTCACCAACGAGGAGCACGCCGCTGGTACGCGTTATAAAGAGGCTGTGGTACGGGTTATGAGTCCGAGGATCCTGTGGAGTGGCCTACAGGCCAATTGCTGTTGAATGTGAAGCTCCCGCTCGGGCGGGAGATATTGAAGCTGAATTGGTCCGGCTGATCACAGCGCTGTGATTGCTTCTTTCAGCCTCAATCACAGCGCTGTAAAAGAGACACAGCTGACCTTTCCCTCGAGCTGAAACCACCAAGTGGTGTTGTGCCAGAACTGCTAACACCATCACCCACGAGGAGCACGCTGCTGGTAAGACAGCTGCTTGTACGCGTTACTATAAGGCAGGGGATACTGCTGACTCGCCTTCAGGGTCTTCGCTGCTCCGAGTGAAGCACCCACTCTGTCGCGAAAGTACAGTAATTTACGAGGAGCATGGTTGCTGGTACGCGTTCAAAGTTTCTGCGGAACTGCAACATCACTGGGCAGAACAAAGGGTTCCGAGGGCGTCGGCAGATGTTACGCCCGCACACCCTTGCACTGCTTTCGAATAGCGCACACTCTTATCGCTTGTGCCATCGTAAGTTTGAGCCATTCCTTCCCATCGCTATAGGTGAGTCTTGAGAAGCCTCAAAAACCACACGTGCTGTTCTGGCTTGTGCCGTTGTAACATCTAGTCATTCGCAATGCTCCGAAAGCATCTCCCTTGTCGCACGTCCCATCCAGCCATGTGATTGCAAGCTGGCATGCACCACTGCCTCACGCGCCGCATAACGCTGTCCCCCTTCCTCACACGCCCCCTCCCCCCGTGCCCAGCCGTTTCACCGCAGGCGGGCAAGCGCTACTACCTCACGCTCCCCTCGGGGCTGCACAAGCTGGACCACTCCGACCTGCAGGTGAGGGCCGAGAATGCAGTTGGGTGGGCTCTGTGCTGCCTTTGATGGGCTTCCCTTGGGGCTGCACAGGTTGGCTGGACCATTCCGACAAGCACACACAGCCAAGGGCAGCTTCAATAGTTGAAGCTTTGACAGCAATATCTTACCACGCCGCATTGAGAGCCCTATCCTATCTGCATGTGAGGGCAAGGCTGACGTGGGCCTACATTTAGCCAGTTTTCTTTCTCGTCTTGAATCCACCCTCCATGCTGCACCAGACCCCAACACCCTCGCCGTCTCTCACTCTTTTCTATGCTCCCTGCAGGTGCCCAGCATCCACCTCGTGAACGGCGTGCAGGCGCCCATGGAGGCCAAGTTCGCGTATGTCAACACGGGCAACACCACCCGCAAGTCTGTCTTCACGGTGCTGCTGCAGCTGCACCCCGCCGACAAGGACAACGCGTGGCTCGACCTGTAAGCAGTTGAAAGGCATGCAGTAGTGTGCAGCTGCCTTTGCTCTCCTCTCCTACGGTTGAGCCTCGCGCCGTCCTTGTCCGAGGGGCGCAGCCACAGCAACACAAACAGGTTTGCAGCTCAGCCGTACATAAGGTAGCACAGCACAGACGCAGCTGCTTATGAACCGCTACCCTAGCTACCCTAGCATGACTGCTCTTGCCCCGTTGGTGTCCTTTCTCCCCTCTCCACTCTCCCCCTCCCCTCAGCTGGCTGAACCACACCCGGCACCCGGCACCCGTGAACAGCACAGCCAAGGTGGAGCCCACGACCAGCTCCCCTCCCTTCCCCTGCTTCATTGAGTCCGCCTCTCCCCCCTCCTCTCTCGCCCCTCCTCTCCTCTCCCCAGCTGGCTGAACCGCATTCCAGCGGCGGTGAACGGCACGGTGAAGGTGGCGGCGAAGACCAACTTCATGGAGCTGCTCTCGTTCAACGTGCCCTTCTGGCACTATGAGGGGTCGCAGGTGCGCGCGCGCACACATGCATGCATGCGTATGCCTTACTAACGCACATACATGGATGCTTGCATGCATGCGTATAACCTGGTATACGTACATTACATACGTACATGTATACATGCATGCATGCACTAATTGCTGCAACACACATACCTTGTCCCCCCTGCTCCTCTCCCCTCTCCCCTCCCCCCCTCTGCCCTGTGATCGCAGGTGCACCCGCCCTGCACCGAGGTGGTGGACTGGTTCGTCTCAATGCGCCCCAAGTTCGTCTCCACGCGCCAGGTGGGTGCTGGGGGGATCTTGACGCGCCAGGTGGGTGCTGGGGGGGTCTTGACGCGCCAAGTGGGTGCTGGGGGGATCTCGAATTCCTCAAGGGTTGGTACACTGAACAACAACAACAGCAGCAACAGCGTTGATACATGAACTTTCTCTCTCGCACCAATGGCGAGGATTGAACAACGTGACCTCCCCTTCGCCCTTCCCTCTCCCCTCCCCTTCCCCCCTCCGTTCACGTTGTCCATCCCTCTGTCTCCTCCTCCCCCCCCCACCAGCTCGCCACGTACATGAACTTCCTCTCGCGCACCAACAGTGGCGACCGCACCAACAACCGCCTGCCGCAGCCGCTCAACGGGCGCGTGGTGTCCATGTTCAAGGCGTAGACAGGAGGGTGGATGGCGTGAGGGCATGTGGGAGAGCGAGAGCACGTGGGAAGGCACGTTCAAGGCACGATGAGAGGCCGCATAGTTGCCCTTTGCGCTCAACAACCGCAGTGTTCCGTGTTCAAGGCGTGGGGGGAGGCCACAAGGGCACGAGGCGACCTTTGAGTCGACTCATATGTCACCTCATGTTCAAGGCGTTGAGAGGCCAAAGATCGAAGGCTACTTGTGCCTCTAAACGACCTTACTCTTGTGTTGCCCCCTTCAAGGGGACATGACTAGAGGCCAGATGGGTGGCAGCAGGCAGGTGGGGAGGGATAGTGGATGTGTTAGAATGGGTGGGGGAGCAGATACGGTAGTGTAGGTGATAGGACGGGTGGAGGGGGGGGGGGTAATAGTGGTGGTAGGCAGGGAGGGGAATAAAGTTGGCTGCTTGCCCGCCCAGGAGTTTGGCCGAGGGTGGAGGGGGGGCGAAGGTGGTGTGTTGTCGTGGCCAGCCAGGCAGGTTGGTGCATGTTTCATGTAGCTTCGTTCGTATGGTTCGCTTCTAAGATGCCGTCATGTCACATGGTTTTGGGGGAGCCTCATCTGGCCTGTGGATTGCCCACACTGAGTGTGACCCTGTGTGACTAAGGTTTGATTTGTTTGTTTGCCTTTGTAGGAGAGTTGCATGTAGTAAATCTATAATCACAACAACACATAAAATTCCTGTGGAACCAATAGCCTTAGCGAGCAAAGCATTCAGATCTTGTGCATCAGTGTGCGATCTCCCAGTTTGTTTTCTGTAGGCCTGATGCAAGTGGCAGACACGTGATCGGACCACCAGCTCTCACCCCACCCTCCGCGCCTTCGTAGTTTCCTCCCTCGGCGTGTCTTCTGAATCATGATACGTAAGAGTTGTATGTGCTTCTGGAGCTGAAGCGCTAAAGTGTTACGCAAGGGTGGCTATATATACATCGTGCATGTGTAACAACCGTGCGCATGGGATGGGGCAGATGAAATGGGGCGTTTCAGCCCCCCTAGTGACTATCAGCCCATTGTTGGCGAGTACAGAGCATCATGCTCTGCAGCACCATGTGCCCACGGGGATCCCAGTGCGCACAGCAATCTGCCCTTGGGGCAAGAGAGGTGAATCCATACCCATGTCCGGCACCGCACGGCTCCCCTAACAGCCGAACCCCCTGCTGCAGCCTGCTAGCTGCGTGAATAGCGAAGCCTTGAGCTGGCCTCTCAGGGCGCCCTTGGGGAAGGAGGGGGTGGTGACCAGGACGTAGAAGGAGGCGGGCATCTGCGGGAGAGGGGAAGGAGGGGGGGGGAGAGGAAGATAGATTGGAGGGAAGAGAGGAATGAAAAGGGACGCCTTGAGCTGGCCTCTATGGGCGCCCTTGGGGAAGGAGGGGGTGGTCACGAGGACGCAAAAGGACGAGGGCATCTGAGAGGGGAGGGACGAGGCAGGGTGGAGGGAATGAGGAATGAGAATGGTCGCCTTGAGCTGGCCTCGATGATTTCATGGGGAAGGAGGGGGTGGTGACCAGGGCGTAGAAGGAGGCGGGCATCTGAGAGGGGGAAAAGGGGTAGAGAGGGGGAGAGGGAGAGTGTGAGGAGGGTGAGGCGACCAGGGCAAAGCTCCTGGGTAGAGGGCGCATTTGTAAACGCCACTTCAAGATCCCATACCCATGCAGTTAAGCTGGGCCTCAAAGCACCAAGGGAAAGGAGTGGTTGACCCCAGGGCATAGCAGAAAAAGGGCTGATGCTCGGCAGAAGGAAGGGAAAGCGAAGGGGATGGGGGAGTGGAGGGGATGGGGGAGTGGAGGGGACGTGGAAGGGAAAGGGGGCGTGGGAGCGGATCTGTTGCGCTGGCCTCTCAAGGCTCCAGAAAAAGGAGTGAGGGACCAGGGCGGTGAAGAAAAACAGAGGGCTTCTAGTGAGCGGAAGGAAGGGTGAATGACGGTGGGGGAGAGCGGGATGGTGTGGAGGGGAAAGGGCGCATGGGTTGGGGATAGTGAAGAGAGGACGTAGAGGGGAAAGGGCGCATGGGTATGGGATCTTGAAGTGGCGTTGACAAATGCCCCGACCTGCCGCTCCAGGGTCATGAGCACATGATGCAGGGTCATGAGCACATGATGCAGGGTCATGAGCACATGATGCAGGGTCATGAGCACATGATGCAGGGTCATGAGCACATGATGCAGGGTCATGAGCACATGATGCGGGGCGCCAGTAAGCTGATGCGGCGATAGGGGGTGTCGCTGGAGCGCCCGAAACAAGTTCCTGATATAGAGTGTCGCTGTTCTTGCATGGCCGCTCTCCGCCTGTACCTGCATGCATACGCGATGCCACGAAGCTGTACCTGCATGATCGTTGCAAATAGCAGCGTCAGCGATTCTCCTGACGAGATCGTCTTCTTGCTCGCCTGCTTGAAAACTCCCTGCAACGCAAAGCCGTTCCCCCTTCCCTTCCCTTTCCCTTTCCCCTTGCCCTTCCCTCGCCCAATAAGCTTTGCCACGCTGCCCCACGCCTTGTCAGCGGTGCCAGCTGGGATCCACGTGGACGAGGTCAGATTGAGGATGGCCGGGCCATTGGCTGTGGCGGTTGCCACGCGGATTGATGCTGACGTGGGCTTTTCCGACGTGCTGAGCTGGCTGACTGTGATTTGATAGCGGATGCTCAGATCTGCTCCTGCTCTGCCACGTGGGCAAGGAAGGGAAGTGGGAGGGGAGGAGCACAGGGAAAACGGAAGAATGTGGGAATGAGGGAAGAATGGGATGGAAATAAGAATGGGAGCAGTAGTAAAATGAAGGATAATGGCGGTGGCATGGTTTTCCTTGAATGTAGAAGAGGGGGGTGGGGAGAACGAAAAGGAGCGGTGATAATTCACACGATTTCAAAAGAATATCGTAGATGGCACAAGCAGTTACAAAGTTTCTTGCACGGCGCAATCTACGTTTTAGATGAAAATATACCACTTTGATAAAATTAGAGAGTGTTTTCTTACTTGTATATAATAAAACTGGCTTTTCCGGACGCCCTGCTGTCGCCCGCACTGCCCACCACATTGGTGCCAGCCAATTTACCGAGCACCTCTCCTGAAGAGAGACGAAAAAGTTGGAGAGCCGAGGGAGGAAGGCACGGTTAGGGAGGAAGAGCGGGGGCAAGAGTGGAAGGGGAGGGGGGGGAAAGGGGCAGGGGCTAGAGAGGAGAGGGCGCTCCGTTAAAGGAAGGCCCGTCGCATGGTTTGGGCATATGTGACGGAACGAGATGAAGGCGGAGGAAGTTGGGGAAGGTCCAGTGCCCGCGGGCAGGAACGAGATGAGTCGATCGTTGAGGCGCCTCAAAAAAGGTCCAGTGCCCGCGGGCAGAGCGAGATGCAGGGAGGAGGCCACGTGGACATGAAGGGAGGAGACACGTGGACATGAAGGGAGGAGGCCACGTGGACCAGAGACCCACTGAAGGGAACGGCGACCAGCTTCTGCTGCCACTTCGTTACATTCACATCCCCCTGGCCGCCGCCGCCGCCGCCGCCGCCACCGCCGCCGCCGCCGCCGGGGAAGCCTGGAATTCCTGACTGTGATGCGGCGACTGGAGGGATGCGGGGGATGGGGGAGAGGGGCGCGTGGAAAATGGGGAGAGTTGGGTTCGGGGAGGTGAACGACAGGCTCGTCGACGTCGCAAGAAGCGGTCTGCCATGTGGCATTGCGAGGGACTCCCTGGGACGGTCGCGTGGACGCGAAAGAGGAGGGAACAGAGAGCGCCTCGCAACACAACCACTCACGGATAATGGGAAACAGAAGAATCGCTAGTATCAGTGTTGTCGGCGGCTGAACTTCCGGCATGAAGCCACGTGTGCGCGTGAAGGCTGTGCGGCTGATCGAAGGCTGGTACCCCATGTCTGACAATAGTAGCAGTCGGCTCTACCTATTGCTGCTGCTGACACTGCTGGTTGCTGCAAAATAGTCAATAAATTAGTGCCCAAGTATAGTTAGCATGTATATATTGGTCGTCTAGCGACCGAGCTCTGCTCCTTGATAGCGGTAGATGAAGGAATCCAGAAGGTTCTTTGTTCGGAAAACCCGTGTTTGCTCCCAGCGCGGAATGCGGCGAGTCAGGTATCCGACGGAGTGGTGTCAACTTTCCGCTATTCACGGCTATGGTCGACGCTTAAGGTCTACGGTGCAAGAAAGTGTCGAGAAGGGTCCACAGCTAGAGGAGTTGACAGAGGAGACTAGCTTCAGAAGTGCAAACGAGGGAGGCGGTTTGTGTGGTGGGGCGTGCTGCTTTTACTGGGATTGTGCGCCATTGCACGTAGCAAATTCGGTTTTGACATTCGCCAAGGGGCTTTGGTGAATGTCTTTGCGGCGCGAATGGCACGATTTGCGTGAAAGCGAGTTTCCACTTGCTGGGCTAAACGCGGTGCGGCTTTCAATGCCACATCATGCTGCATTCGTTCCGTTCCCACCTGACACGCCGCCTTCGCGTGGACTGACGTGTACTGCGAAAAAACTACCGTAAAGCACTCATCAGTACCATCCACTACACCAAACCTGCTGTACGCTGAGCGTTGCGCCTTCGCTGCAATGGCTTCCTCTCTATGTCCTGGTGTCACCCAACTATTGTGATGGATTCCACCAAGAACTTGGGGAGAACTAATGTCCAGTATTTGGGCAACTGATAACACATACTATACCATTGGACTAAACGATTTGACACTAGTGTCCACACAACGGACATTCGATCGTTTTATCAAGTTAGACTTACCAAGTGTTCATCTGGTGTTATTTTGGGAATAAATGGCTCCAGTACGTCGACATAATCCATGGCCAGGAAACAACGATTCCTCATATCTCAACCAGCTTAAGGTTTGCTCATTTCTCCAAGCAGGTCATCCTGGGGAAACAAGTGTTCGCGTTGTCAACATATATTTGTGTATGTGATAGGCTAGATAGGTGCATGCTCATAGAGAGAACAACTCCTTAAGACAAAACCACCCTATATCACTCATTCTAGTTCATTGCGTTGTTCTGAGATGGTATCACACTAGGTTAGGCCCCCCTCCCCGCTTAGGCTTCTGCCCCTAGCCCTAGACCTAGCCCTAGCCCTAGCCCGTGTCCTAGCCGTGTCCTAGCCGTGCCCTAGCCCTAGCCACGCCCGTGCCCTAGCTCTGTCCGCGCCAGCCCCGTCACTTCACGCCGGCCCCGTTAGTTCGTGCCGGCCCCGCTAGTTCGCGCTGGCCCAACTAGTTCGTGCCGGCCCCATCACTTCGCACTGGCCCCGTCAGTTCGCGCCGGCCCCGCTAGTTCGCCCCGGCCCCGTCAGTTCGCGCTGGCCCCGTCAGTTCGCGCCGGCCCCGTCTCTTCGCGCTGGCCCCGTCAGTTCGCGCCGGCCCCGCCACTTCGCGCTGGCCCCGTCTGTTCGCGCCGGCCCCGTCTCTTCGCGCTGGCCCCGTCAGTTTGCGCCGGCCCCGCCACTTCGCGCTGGCCCCGTCAGTTCGTGCCGGCCCTCGTCAGTTCTCGCCGGTCCCGCTAGTTCGCGCCGGCCCCATCGTTTCGCGCTGGCCCCGTCACTTCGCGCTGGCCCCGTCACTTCGCGCTGGCCCCGTTAGTTCGCGCTGGCCCCGCTAGTTCGCGCCGGCCACGTCCGTTCGTGCCGGCCCCGCTAGTTCGTGGCGGCCCTGTTGCTTTGCGCTGGTCCTGTTAGTTCGCACCGGCCCCGCTAGTTTGCGCCGGCCCTATCAGTTCGCGCTGGCCCCGCTAGTTCACGCCAGCCCTGTCACTTCACGCTGGCCCCGCTAGTCCGTGTCGGCCCCGCTAGCCCGTGCCGGCCCTGCCACTTCGCGCCGGCCCCGCTAGTTCGCGCTGGCCCTGCCGTTTCGGGCTGGCACCATCCCTCATCGCTGGCCCTACTAGTCCGCACCGGCCCCCGTTCGAGCCGGCCCCAATTCGCGCTGGCCCCTTTTCTCGCCTGCCGCGGTGCTACCGTGCTGCCGCGGTGCTGCCGTGCTTCCGTGCCGCCGTGCCGCCGCGACGCCATGCCGCCGCGACACCGTGCTGTCGTGCCGCTGTGCTGCCGTGCTGCCGTGCCGCCGTACTGCTGTGTTGCCATGTTGCCGTGTCTCGTGCCGCCGTGTCGCTGTATCGCAGTGCCGTCGGGCCGCCATGCCGCGGTGCCTTGTCAGCTGCTGCAGCCGTGGTGATGGCGGATGCTGTGCTCCGCCTGGACGCGGAGAGGCGTGGCTCGTCGACCTCCTCCGTCAGCTTACAGGTCAGCGCTAGGACGGCTACTCCCTGACCGTCCATGTTGACGGTAAGCTTTCCTGCCCCGCCGCGCATGCTGCCCTTCGTGACGCTCCCACGTTTGCTGAGCGTGAGGCCTTTGCCACTGCTGAGCTTGCCCGCGCTGTCTGGGAGTGGCGCGAGGCGGTAGCGCAGCTTGCTATTAGTCCCGCCCTCCCCCAGTCTGAGCGTCCTCGCTTTACTGCTGTAGCGAATGCGAAGGAATACTTAGATGCACTCATTGCATGCCATTCCAATCCCTCCTCTGCCTCAGCTAGCCGTCTGATCCTCCCCATGCTGTTCCTGGATCTTGTGTCCTTCCCCACTGTCACTGACCTTGCCACTCATCTGCGCGCACTAGAGATGAGTTAACTCGCTGCTAGCACTGAGTCCCAGCTCACTGCATTCCCTCCTCCCCTCTGCGTTACCCTTTACCTCATTGCCATGCGCCTTCCTGACCGCCTTGCCACTGCCCGCGACCACTTGCTTAGTTAGCACCCAGATGATCTCCCCCTTCCTGCCTTTGTTACTGCCCTGTCTGCGATAGAGACCCGCCAGCGCACTATCGCTCAGTCTAGCGGTACTACGGCGGTCCCTATCTTCCAGGGCTATGCTCCCTCCCAGTGCACTTACTCTGACATCTCTACCACTGTTACTGAGACGGCCCGTGTTGCTGAGACCACTGTGGCGGCCTCGGCGCAGGCTCGTCAGGGTAGGGGACATCGGGCCCGAGGGGCGGGGCGTGGCAGCGGGAGGGGTGGTGGGGGTGGCGGGGGTGGTGGCGGTGGTGGAGGGGACGGTGGTGCAGACGAGGGGACTGGGGCTGATGCCCCGGTGCAGCAGCAGGAGCAGCAGTAGCAGCAGCAACAGCAGCCGCCGTGGGGACCCCCCCCGCCATGGTGGCCCGGCAGCACTGGTGGTGGTGGTCGTGGTGGTGGGCCGTGCAGCTCGGCTCTAGTGTGGTCACCTGCCAGTACCACCTTCAGTCCGGCCCCCGTCGCGACACCGTCTGCGACTGTCCCGGTCACACCGCCGCCCACTGCCATCGCCGCCTGGACGACCTCTTCCGTCTCCGCTTCGGCCCCGCGTTGGACCCCCCGACTGGTACAGCATGGTGCGTTGCCGTGTGCCTGTCTTTAAGCTGCATATGGATCAAATTAGGTCTGCTATGTATGCCATGTATGCTGATGACTCTAGTATGACTGACCGTATTACCCTGTGTTGCCTAGTGTAGGTGTGTCCACAGTATGTAGCCTAGGTTCCCCTGCTGCGTCAGGTAGAGGATCACCTGCCTTGTTTAGCCTCCACTCCACTCGAGCTTCTCTGCCTTTGGATGCCACCACCGCACTCTCTTTCATGCTAGACTCGGATGCGTCCGCCTGCTTCTTTCGCGACCACACTGCGCTCACACCGCTTGCCGCCCCTGCCGTTGTAGCGCTTGCTGACCCCTCCTCAGGTCTGGTAGTTGCACATAGCTCCACAACACTTCCACCGGCTCCCTTACAGGCTTGCATATTCCCTCGTTCTCCAGGAACCTAGTTCGGCTGTCTTCAGGACCTCGGCATCACCACTACGTTTTCTGGACACGAGCGGTACGCAGTCTACACCGAGGCCGCCACTGGTGCCCATCTCACCACGTTCCCCCGGGACCCGGTGTCTGGCCTTGTTCACTCTAGACACTACGTTCCCCCGGTGGGAGCGTCCCCCCAGGTGGTCGCGCCCTCCCAGATCGCTACGGCTTGCTCGTGCTGGTCGCTCACCCACTTGTCGCTGTTGTGGCACCACCCCGCACTCCCACGTCTGCGACACATGTCCCAGCACGGTCTTGTCTTAGGTCTCCCTGCGTCGCTCCTTGCCCTCCCTCCCTTGCCTGCGCTGCCGTGCACGCCTTGCGTCGAGGGCTGGCTGCGCCGTGCCCCTCACTCATCCTCGCTTTCCCCTACCACTGCGCCACTTTAGACCCTACACCTAGACGTCTGGGGCCCAACCCTCGTCCCTGGGCTACTTCGAGAGCGCTACTTTCTGGTGCTCATCGATGAGTACACGCGCTACACCACGGTGTTTCCCATGGAGCGGAAGGCCGACGTGCCTGACGTTCTTATCTCGTGGGTCGTAGTTGCGCGGGTCCACCGCGGCCTCCCTGTGCTGTGTCTTCACTCCGACCGTGGTGGCGAGTTCGCCTCCGGTCGGCTTGGCCAGTTCTGTTGTGCGGAGGGCATCACCCAGTCGTATGCCCTGCCGGACTCCCCGCAGCAGATTGGGGTCACTGAGCGACGCATCGGTTTGGTCATGGAGGTGGCTCCTACCTCCTTGATCCATCATGGTGCACCCCATTTTCTGTGGCCGTTCGCTGTTCGCTACGCCGCTCACCAGCTTAACCTGTGGCCACACTCCCTGCGGTTGCAGGTTTCGCCGACCCTCCTCTGGACCGGGTCCCCTGATGACACGTCTACATTCCACATTTGGGGCTGCCTCGCTAACGTTCGTGCCTATGGCATGAATAAGCTCACTGCCTGCACTGTCCCCCTTGGCTTCCCCTTAAACGCGTCTGACTGGCACTTTTACCACCCGCCGTCTCACCGTTTCTTTCACTCTCGCGATGTCACTTTTGACAAGTCTGTCTCCTTCTACACCCGCTTTCCTCACCAAGGTCTCCCGGTTGCCCCGCCCCTATTCCTGGGCCCCACTCCCTTGGTAGCACCTGCTCCTCTCCCTCCCCATCCTATCCCGTCTGGTGTGGCTCACGTTACTCCCTTCCCGTTGGTTGTCTCGGTGGAAGAGTTGGCTGACTCTGGGGGCCCTTCGGCTCCGCGTTTGCTACCTGTCTCTGCCCCTGTTGCTCCTACTCTGCCACCGGAGCCGCATTCACCGTCGCCGTTGCCATCGCAGCAGCAGCCGCCGCTGCTGCCACAGAAGCAGCGTCGCCGCAGGGGTTCAAGAGCTCTAGTGGTGCGGGCATTGAGGAGGGTGCTGGTTCTGGGGGTGCTCGTCCTGAGGTACTGCTGTGGCTTGTCCCTGCGGTACTGGGGGTGGCACGGGTGCTGGAGAGGTTTCTCGTTCAGGGGATGTTGGTGTGGAGCGTCCCGCAGGTAGCCATGGTATAGCAGGAGGTTCTGGTGTCAGCGTAGAGAAGCAGCAGCAGCAGTTGCCGCCGGTGTCCGCCCTTCGGCTCCTCAGTCTTACTTCCCCGACCGCCCGCCCATGCCTCCCCTGACGCTGCCTCCCCCGCCTATCTGCGGTCCTATGTTTCCTCCTCCGGACTCGTCCCCGGCTTGTTTCCCCCTCGTTCTCCTGCTGTGTCTCCTCCCTTGTCTCCTGACCCGACCCCCCCCCAAGCTGGTGGTCTCACCATGCCTCTCGTGCTCGTCCTGTCTCTCTTGTTCAGCGCTCTCACCCTATGTTGTTCCATTCTCACGCGTCTCGTGCTCCCCTTCTACCGTCACCTCCTCAGTCGTCGCTTGTTGTCTCCCCTCCTCCTCTCCTCTCTAACTTCCTCCATGCCGCTAGTCCGCTTGTCCCTCGCATTCTTGCTTCTCTTGTTACCGACCCGTCCGTTCCTGTCTCCAGTCTTGACGCTCTTGTCGCTGCCGTCACTGACTTTCCCTCTACTCGCCGCCTTGACTACGCCACCGCTCTGGTCTCTGACCCTGCCCATCCTCCGACAGTGACATCCTGGGGGACCGGTAGTATGAGCTTGCTTTCCTGTCCGAGGCCGCGCCTCATCTCTGCTCCATGCTGCTAGTCCCTGAGGGGGACCCAGACGCCTTTGATATCCCGACCCCTCGCACTTATGCAGAGGCGACCTCGGGACTCTGGGCCTCAGTGGATAGCTGCCATGGACACGTAGATGGCATCTTGGAGACACACCATCACCAACATCGATGCAGTTCCCCCACTTGGGGTGAAGGTGGTCGATTGCCGGTGGCACTTCAAGGTGAAGCTCCCTCCTGGAGAGCTGTTGTTGTGCAAGGCGCGCTACGTTGCTAGAGGCTTCAGTTTGTGTGAGGGTGTTGACTTCTTTCTGACCTTCGCCCCGACCTCGAAGATGACCGCTCTTCGGGCGCTGCTACACGTAGCAGCATAGCATGACTACGAGTTGCATTCCCTCTACTTCTCCGCGGCGTTTCTTTAAGGCAGTCTGCACGAGCAGGTCTACCTGCGCCATCCGCCCGGCTTCACCAGCATCTTTGCGTCTGGTACCGACTGACTCCTCCAGCGCCCGGTTTACGGCCTACGGCAGGCACCCTGTGAGTGGCACGACATGGTGCGTGCTACGTTAGCTGACCTGCAGTTCTTCCCGTCATCTGCAGACCCCTCGCTCTTCGTTCAGTCTAGCCAGACCCCAAACTACATACTTGTCTACATAGACGACCTTGTCTTTGCTACTGCAGACAGAGACGCACTGGCCTCCGTGAAGGCCAAGCTGCTGAGGAGACACACCTGCACTGACCTAGGAGAGCTGCGCTGCTACTTTGCCCTGCAGATCTCTAGGGACAGAGCATCGCGCACCATCACTCTTACACAGTCACACTTGGTGCGCCAGGTCCTTCAGAGGTTCGGCCTTCAGTTCTCCTTCGCACAGCCCTTGCCTCTGCTAGTAGATCATAGGCTCTCGGCTCCAGTCCCTGAGGAGTCTGTAGAGCCTAGTGGTCCTTACGCAAAGCTGGTGGGTTGCCTCATGTACCTGATGACTTGAACTCGCCCAGATCTCGCATACCCTTTCCGCATCCTGGCTCGCTTTGTGGCTACAGGCAGACACTGACCACAGCACTGGTCGGCCGCTAAGAGGGTTTTGTGTTATCTAGCAAGTACATCGGGCATGTTCTCCGGTATTCAGTAGCAGCCTTGGCCTCGTCATCACTGCACCATTTCACCGAGGAACACGCTTGGCAAAGCTGGCACAACGCCAAGAAAGTGGGGCTCTAATGCAAATGAACCGACTATATCACATAAGTCTTTGTAAGCAGCTGCTTCACCACAATCTACTCCAGTGTTGGAGGTTGTTCGAAGAAAACCTAGGTGCATAGCGTGCTAACTCTTATAGATGACGCGCACTATCTATTGTACCCCATTACCTCATAGCGAGGTCGTGAGCGGGTGGCAAGAACCACCTGAGTCAATGTTTGAACAATATAGCAAGAAGTTGCGACGCAAAGTTGCAACATGAGGTTACAGTAAGAGGTTTTGTCAGAGGTTTCTTAAAGAGGCTTCTTCATAATAGGCACTTCTCATGGTATTTATACCTGTTGCACCGATCATTGTATTATCCTTATCTAATGTATAGTTTTTACATTACAAGGATCTCTAAGTCTTCCATATACTTCACTTTTACGGGTTCCATAGAATCTTGGTCATTAGGTAAATCTCTATACTTATATATGGTATCAGAGTAAGTGGATTTCATCTGAACCCACAACTCCCTCCTTGGACTCCTCAGGTACATCTCATTACTAGCATCTTTGACTCAACTTCTAATATATTTACTCCATGCCAGGCAAAGGTCCTTCTGCCCATTCCACTATTTTGCCTACTTCTGGACTGGAAGAGATGACAGCTTAATTCGTTGCAATAATGGGAATAGGAGGACAACACGAGCAAGGAGACACCTCTCGGGTACTGAATCCTACTCCTACCGGCAACACCAAGAGCCTTGAAAGCTATAACTATGCACGTGCTATAGCTGCTATGCCGCTGACTTCTGGACAAGACTCCGCTGGCTCCTTCACCTTTCATGGTGGCCCTGCACTCGGATAGTAGCAACAACAATACCATCAGCACGTCAACAACAACCCTTTTGAGTACGCTACTGCAGTCGTCAAGCAAACACACTTCCT